TAATATGACATGCGTAATCCTTACCTTGCTGGTACGTATAGGTATACTCGCAGTCGACGAATAATTCTCATTTTCAGCACGACGCCACAACACTTGATTATAGTGCAACCGACTAGGATATAATATATTAGAGTAAGTACCTATACCTATAGCGTTTCAAGTGGTCGTCTATACGTTTTTACCCATACCGAAATGGTTTTATTTAATTCTCACGCGATACATACGATTATACGAACTTAACACTACGAGGTCTTAAAACGTTATATACATTTAATTGTTTACAATTGATTTTCAGTCGTAAAAATAATCGCGAAAAACTAAATATATACTCAAATTAGACGTTTCTTATTTAAAAATATTACCAGCAATAGTGCCAGTGTATAGTCATCCGATACACAGCTGCAGTGCGAACAACATGAATAATTATCATCATCGTCTATGCCAGCAGTTCTTAAACTTTTGAAGTACACGGACTTCCAACGAAAGAGTTTTTTTTTTCAAACTGTAAACTCCCTCAGGTACTAATTTTCATTTGAATAACTTTAGGTATTTAAAAATGTTAACGATAAATCACGTGTTGTATCGTAGCCAATCGTCTATGGTCGGAAACACTGATAGCGCTACGATGAGCCGCCGTGCCGTGGACCACGTAGGTCACTGTTCTTATACCACGGTTAGTGTAAGTCCCTGTAGTTAAGAACCAGAGATCATTGGCGCATACTATACTACGCTTATATAATATGATACCACATTCTTACACTTATCACTTATTGTGGTATAAGAACTCTGGTCCACAACACTCGTGCCGGTAGTCTGAGGCTTCTATATCAGTATTTTCTACAGTGGATGATTGGTTATGAATGTTATGGTATAACACAAAATTTATCATAAAAATGTCGATGAGATCTTTTTTCTTCTTCTTCTACTGGCGTGAATCTTAAGATTTATTGCCACCATCACTTTATACACATCCAGGTACGTACTTAGAGGGGTAAAGTGTACCCTATTGCCCGGGATGGCAAATTGTTTTATCAATTTATATTGACATATTATTATTGTGTATTAATTGTATAAACAAATAAATATATTTAAATTATTAGAATAACCTTCCCCAATTATTACATCTCAAAAAATAAATAGGTATTATTGGTTTTATAAATTTATCGAAAAAAAATATTAATGATTACAAAAGATATTTTAGGTCACTGGTCAATCATGAATCAAGAAAGGTGTTTTGCGTTAGCGTTACCATATACTTGAATATACTATCTTGAATTGCCTGAGTTTTCAACTCCAATAACTTTTTAAATCTTTTTCTACTTATACGTCAATTCGTCTTTTATCGGTCTCCGCTTATAAGGTCTATCTTTACTTATTTGAGATTTCCATTCCACTGTGCAGGCCTTAACTGTTTTGTTTTCTCCTTTCCTAATTATGTAGCTTACATCGAATCGTTTGGTTCTAGTACCATCATATCGCATAACTCTCCGTAGAATCATCTTCCACAGTTCACTAGAAGAGATATTTCTCCTCCAAGTTTTGTTCTCGAGCTTCTCTCTGCCCATTCTGTTATTGTCTTCTATGTCTCCTAACCTTATTCGTGAGAGTTGGAAAGTGCGGTCATTTAAATTATAATATAAATATTATAAATGTACCTACGTATATTACACGATGAACGGTATCATATATGTCAATAGTTTTATAAGTATGCCACTCTTAATAAGTTATTTTCATGTTTTGGATACATATATTGATATATTCATTATATTAAACTCATAATAATTAAGTAATTTATCCACATATCTTCCAAACTATAAGTGTAGACCTATATACCGTTTAATTTATTTTTATCTTCGTTATTATTACATTACATACGATCTAGGTTTATATATATATATATATATATATATATATCCATTCATGCTTTCGATTTACGGATGTATCATACATATTATATAAAAAAAACTGGTTTGCATTACAATCGATCAGAGATAACACGGATCAGAAACGTGGTAGCTTTATTTTACATTACCTATATATTATTTTTCTTTCACTTTCCTAATAATATAATATATTACATTCATATTTTCCACATAACCACTTTAAAAAAAAAAAATGCAAATTTCTTATATAAATCCAATATATTTGACTCGTATTATTCGTGTAAAAGAAAAAAAGCAGCATAATATTATTGTATTAACTAATATTTGTATTTTTTTATTACTCTACTACTACTGCAGCAGCGATGCCGTAGTATATTATACAGTAACTGTAATAATATTATTTTAAACCGTGGTACTGATTTAATTACATTTTTCTCCTAAATGTTTTATATTATTATGGTGGAATACGTGTTCTTGGCTACGGAAAAATACTATAAAATCAAAATAAAAAAAAAAATAAGAGAATACGTATGGCAAACGGCATCGCGTTGTGTGTGGCATTCCTCGTGTTCGGTCGATTTTTACGGGTCGTTTGATAACGGGGATGCTGCGTCCTGCGTGCTGTATATAGTGTATACCTATTGGTTATAATATTATACRGGATGTCCCGCGAGGATTTACCTATCGCGATATCTGTCGAGATAATTAATATATCATAAATGTGCTTTTATATACTATTTTTCATAAATAAGGGCTACATGTATTTAATATTTTAATTAAATGAAGTTTTTTGGTAAAAAAGTTAAAAAAATATCTTTTGATTTTAATTTATAAAAAATAAAAATACCTATTTTATAGTGTTTATTTTGCTAACAATTTTGACCTTTCAACATTTTATTTTCATTAATCTAATGATTTTTAATAATTTTTTTAGTTTCTAGATAAAACAGCGAAAAACTGGTTTTCACCCGGCCGGCGAGTCCCCCTCTACGGCTAATGGGTATATCCTCACGGGACATCCTATTTATCATTATACACCGATGATCCGTTCACCTAGAACAACAATTAAAATCGAACATGATATTTATTTATTTTTCTCGTGGTAAAATAGGATGTATTACTTATTATTATTATTTGTGGGAGCGTTATTTCGACACAATAAAATATTTATATATTATATTTTAAAATCTATTATAAATAACGAAACGTCGCGACATCGTCTATACAATAATGTAATATCATCGTGTGCAGCTATAAGCATTCGAAAAACACATTATTTGTATAGACATTAGTTATGGCTTTATGGGAAATAGATGCTATTATGCACAAGTAACTATTCCTATTTGTACGMTCGTGTTCGATTCGTGTATGATTATTATTATTATATTATATTATTATATGTACGCGTTAAATATAAATAGGTTTATAACCAACCGACCAATGAATCAACTTGATATAACATAAATTATTAATAGGAAATGTATTATTCATTTTCGTATAATATATATTGCAGTAATAAGTAATAACGTACTTTTAGGTGTATCGCGTGTATATGAAATATTATTTATTTTATATACCTACATTTAATATTATAATATAATTTTAGAAAATCTTTCGCGGAGTTATAATTTGGTTACCTATCGTGGAGCTCGTATTTTATGTCTTCTGTTTGGGACGACGAAGAAAATCGTTATATATATATACATATTATACAAAACGATTTTAAGAGTACCTATATTATTACGATGTACAATAATTGGCTAGACGAGATAAAATATTATATATGAATCAACTCGTTATTTTTCTCAAATAATTTTACGTGGTCTTAGTAATTTTTTTTATCGTTGAATGACTTTCAGTTTAATGATTTTATTGTTAATGCTCTAATAAAACAATATGTAATTCAGATTAAAATAAAGTACGACTTCATTATTAAAGTGCAACTAATTTGGAGTTGAACGGATTTTATTTACAGTATTKATTTATATTTTCGAGTTTAGGTATCTAATAGCTACATGTCATGTTGTATAATATTCAAAATTAAGATCTATAAAATACATTTTGAATACGATTTTGCACCTTGAAAAATTACCTTAAATTAAACACAGTAAAAAAAATAAATGCAAATCAAGCCGATAACTCTCTTTCTCTCTATATATATATATTATGTTGTTGATTAATAGTAAAATATGTTACTAAACATATGAATTATAACCTTCTTATATCTTTTTCTCAAATTTTGTTATAACTATTTTACATAAAATGAATGGCAATGTTTACATAACCGTATTTCACCACAATTCTGTATATTATGTAGGACTTGATTAATTAGACACATTATTATAATATCGCAGTGAAACTGTGTATAAAATGAATTCTAGGTATAGTTCAAAAAATGTATTTCATTAGGTTTAAGCATGGTTAATAATTCTTTTCTAAAATTAAGGTATACCTAATATATATTATATGTATATTCATTGCAGTCAGTAATGTTCTTCGTTAACAATATGTATATGATTATAATATAGTTTAAATTACCTACACCGGTGTGGATTATAATAAATTAAAGAACGTGGGTATCGTAGGCTACAGTATTATTCAAATATTCAAATTTATTATATAATGACTATACCAAGTGGATTGATTTAGGTTTGAATGCATATTATTAAGACTAATCCCGTATGCACCGAGCCTCCATGTTTTTAAAACACATTTTAATTGCTCATTCTGAATTCCTGCAATTGTAATTAGGGAAGAAAACTATACAGCTCGATGGTATATTAATAAGATTCATCCGAAACTTTCGATAACGAACAATAGTGTTTATTTTTTCTTTCATTTCGTTTTTTAATTGTTGTTATTATAAAATAGTGTTTACCACCACTTCTTAACCTTTCACTGTATAAGATATACATATTTATCTATTATAAACATATATGGTTAAAATGCAAATGAAACGTTTGCTATAATTTCTTCTTACCCTGTCACCCTTCCACCACCACTTTACCATAGTATATTTTACGAGTGTTAATAAATTGTAAAAAAAAACCCGTAGATACCAAATCGTGATAAATAATAATTGTTTCGTACTTAATTGAAAAAATAAAATTGTTCCAGGTGCCGCCATGGGACTGTCAGTGGCGGGAGACGGGCCTTCGTAGATTTAACGCTGCGAAGGACACCGTCGATTCAGCCAAAGGCATCGCGAAGACTATGCTAATTGACCGGTTACAAAGCTTAATTGCGGTAAGTTGTTTTGTTCATTCAATCAATTCAAAGTATTTTTAGTAGTGATCTCGAATACATTTTCTTGTTTCAAGCACAATAAATTCAAAAATATACCAGGCATACATAATCGGAACATTTTTTTTTTATTACGATAATAATAATACACCAATAAGAGAGAGAAAAAAGAAAATGCTCCGACGTCCAGGAAATGTATAATATACAGTTCCCAACGAATTGGTTTAGGAGTTATTATACACAGAAATTAATTTTTTCGCTCTCCTAAAGTTATACGACCAAAAACAGTACCGATTAATATGTTGATCAAAGTAATTATTATTTGGAATCGACAAACATTAAAAATATAGGTATAGATATTAGTGGTTGTAATCTGGAGTGAATGTCAGTGTTCTTGAAAAATTTAGTGTGGTTTGGTTAGTGTAGTTCCCCTCAAGAGCTCCTTTCATGGCCAGATCATATTTTAGATTGGTTAAAGCGGTTGAACATTTCTAGTTTATTTTTTTACTCGATAAAATAAATGGCAAATACGTGTTTCATAAATATATTGTACTATATTATTATTACTATTATTTATAAATAATAAAAAAATACAAAAAAGGGTGAAAATTCGTATCGTATAGGTTTTTAAAACGTGTAATGCATATAAATCATAAAATCTTATATATTATAATTTAGTGTGATCGCCATAATTAGGAACATCATTCTTAGTGCTTAGAACTTACCTATCTATCTCGTAGCAATGTATACAGATATTTAGTACAATAATTTTTTAGATAACAATTTTTTCCCCTGATCATATATCTGCAAACTAATAAACTCTAGATTCCGCCTAAAATTGTAACTAGAAAGATGTCTTATCGTTATTTTTTGATTTTAAAACATTTTTCTGCAATCTATTAAAATGGCCTCTGACCATACTATAATAATAACTAGTAAAATAAGTGAATATAAAGCGCGAGTAAATAATAACTATAATAATGTAGTAAAATGTATTCCAAAATTTAATGTATACATATATATATTTTCCTTTCTTTTTCTTGTATAAATTTTAACTAAAGTAGGCTAAAAACCTGTGTTGTTGAAGCCTTAAGAAACTTTAAAAAAAAAAAAAAAAAAAGCGCGAGTGCGAACGATTTGAAAGTTACCAAATTCCATATTACATGCCTATACGGTCCCAATACTTACATAAACATTGAAGCGTGCCTTTTTAAATGTCAATGTCTATTGGTTTTCGATGAAATTAATTTAGGTCATTCACTTTATAAAAATTAGATTGTCACAATCATAATAATATATAAATATATTATACATATACTCCATAATACATTATTTAAAAAAAAAAATCTGAACTAATTCAAATATTATTACAATTTTAATGTACAGAAGACATAATATAATATATTCACACCATTTAAAATCAAAGACAGAAAGATTAGATCAAAGATAATATGATAGTATTATTAATTTATTTTACAGTTTATAAAAATAGAAGGATTTTATGTATGATATCATATATTTACAATATCATCCAACAAAAATATTTTCATAAACGTTAATACTTTTCGAAAAAACGAGTGTTCCCTTTTCTACAAATCACCATATGGCCTGTGTGTATGAACTTGTATAATATAGAAATAATAAAAAAATAAAAAAAATAAAAAAATAGTAATTCATATCGTGCTTTGAAAACCTTATGTATTTAAAGTTTAAACCAACGCTAAACGTTGAAGATCGGTGTTAATTTTTCGGTGTATTTTACTCACTGTCTATAAATTAAAAAGTCTTACCGCTACATCGTATTTGGGCATTTTGGGTATTAGTAAATATTTTTCGTGTTGTATCAATATTTTCTACTATAAACAATGACCATATATTACCGTTGCCCATGTACTGCAGGACGAAACCCGTTCGGTCGGTATGAACTATATATAGGAAGGTATATCACATCTATTTACATTCATATTATTAGGACTATATAGGAGTGGCGCGATGTGTGATGCTCGGAAAACACCCCACTRAGGTGCCTCCAAATAATATATTATATTATATACGTCCGCAAATTGTTTAACATCTATTAAACTATGTCTTCTAAAAAGACCATATTATATCGTCGTCCGTGGAATATTGCCAAATTTTTACGAGACCATATTATTATATACAACGTTTAATATTAATAATACGCCTATCGGTGTAGGTGCTCACACGTGTTATATGCCGCCGCTCAATGTTTAGCAATTTTCATCGACACAAATTGTAATAGACGCGTACATACCTATAACCATGCCCACCTGTTGTATAAACCTACCTACTATGGTATATTAATGTGAATAATAAATTCTCGGCTCATTATTAATTCCCACTTTGGCAGTAACAGGCTTGCGAATTCGAATAGTGTATTAAAACATGTGGGGCAGTGGTATATTATATACATTGAGTAGTGAGCGATTCACCGAGTATGCTCGACCATGTTTTTCATTTAATGATGAATTTATTCAAATTATGATTTTTTATCATCTTTGGATTTAAGAAGTTTCCCATGAGGATACATACAATAATTATAATACTTTTTTTTTTCAAATTTATTTGAAATGAAAGTTGTTATTCCTTATAAATTACATTGTTCATCAGATGACATTTTGAGTATTTAGAATATTTATTGAATTATTTTTGTTACTTATAAATCAAAATTGATTTAAATTCACTATAGGTATTAAAGTTATAAACGAGGGTGAACATGCCTGAATCTCCACCCTGTACATTACATTACAAATAGTAACACGCATGTGACGCAGCGTTTAAATACATTATATACGATTTTTTTCCATCGAGATGGTCAGAAGCTGTTGTCGGTTGTACACGGCATATTTACTATATAATAATGCGTATATTATAATATGCGGGTATGCGGACAATAAAAAATATAATATGTCGTGTGCCTACGTTACATACGATAATAATATATATGTATGTATAAAAAATGGTGGCTAAGAGAGTGAGACGATCACGTGTTGTAAATGTTCAGCGGTGGTTTTTGGACGACATCCAAGTGGCTCGCGGATTCTTTTACTAACAGGTGGCTGAGAAGACTACGAAAAAAAGAATCCGCGTACATTTTTTTGTTTTATTATTTTCGTTTGTGTCACATTTCCTTTTCGCCACTGCCTGGCGATGTAATAATAATAATATTATATACGACGATGGATAATATAACGACCACCGCGTCGACGATTCTTTCGTCGGCCTGTGACGCACCGCGAAAACACGTTTCAAACTAATCGGGAAAACGACGCGCGTAATTCCATAATATATAGCATATACCATAGCATCTTATAGGTATCTATACGCACGGTATAAACCGTAAATGAACCGCGGTACAATTTGTGCTCCTCCTCGCCTCCGCCGTCTTCGTTATACCATCATCTACGTTTTGAACGACGAAACTATATAGATCGGCACTTGCAACCACGAGATCGGTTGCGATATATTCGCCGTTGGAGGACAAGAGAATTCACCGAAGGCTTGATGGTTTTATAATAACGATGATGATAATAATATTAAAAGTCTCGCCGAGTCCATTAATTTGCCCGGGTATAAGATACGCATCACGTCCCCCGCAAAACACGCATTTATTTTATTTTGTATACAAATAACAGATCTGTATATTATATCAGCTGCAGCGGGCTCATTGTGCGCGTGCTGTGTAGGTAGGTGCACCAACCCCTCTGATCTTATGAATATAATATTATCCTTCTGTGCTTATTGGTAACTATATATATGATGTATATACCATTATTGTTGTTTCTATACATATAGGTATGAGATATGACGTATAGTAATACGTAAGAATCGCGGTGATGACCCGTCAAAATCTAAAAAACCGAATACGTATCAGCCTGTTGGTTCATACTCATGGTTCATATACGCATACCAATTACCACATAATATTCTACTCCGAGTATCAGATATTATACCATAGTATAACCTGTATAAACTGCAGGGTGATTGATGATTCACCAATGGCGATATTGTTAACCTCCGTTTTGTTCTATGATATTTAGAATTTATTCTAAATCCGATTTCTCACACCATATTTTTAAATGCATGAATTATTTATACTACTTGATGAACTCCGATTTAAATTACTTTTTTAATGAAACAGACGAACCACCTTTTTTCACTGTAAATCATTAAAACCAGTTGATTAACTCGATAATATTACGCACAACTGTAGTCATTATAATTAATGGTTTTACATAAAATGTAAATTAGATATAATGATTAGTCTCAGTGGTGTACACACGGGGGGTGTTCTATCACCCTTGACTTTTTTCCAATACCAGATATATATAATATATACCCCTAAAATAGGCCCCATTGAATATTTCTGTGTACGCCATAAAATATCATAATCTATAGTCGCGCTTACTACGAGTATATCTGGGATATTTTTAAGAACTATACATTTTTAATTAATTAGTATGATTGAATTTTTCAAATCTACAGAGAACCCCACATTTTCTAAACTTTATTTTATTGTGTAGACCAATGAACTATTATTTTTAGTACTTATGTTACCTTAGTTAACATGACTAAAGAAAATTTTTATGTACTTTTAATATTAATTTTTGTAAAAAAAAAATCTTCTCCTTATAGTTATTTAGGATAAAAAAAGATAGTATTCTTATTTGAAACAAAATATTTGTGTCATCACAAAATGCTCTTTAAATTAGGTATAAAAAAAATAAATATTTGAAAATATGGTCCTCAACTACAAATATTTTAGTTAAAAATCCTAAAATTTTAAAAATTATGCAGAAAAAAATAAGGATGTTTGGTGAAATGACTCAATATATTATTATATTCACGAGTGTTATTCGCACTGCGTTTTAATAATAATATTATATATAGAGGAGTATAAACACGTTTKCTGGTGGCTTTGGAAACAATTCAATCGATGATCTTTTTTTTTTGATCATTTATTATTATTAAGTATAATATTA